ATCTACTCACAGTGTTATGGCCTGAATATAGATTTAAAGCTCCATGGCACCCACCATTTATAAACAGTTTAAGAAGCCTATAAAACCAATTCTTCATCAGCAACAGCATTCTGACACAAGTACTTTGTAGGACTGCTGTAGCAGTATCCACCACAGTTGATAGTCTTCACTGAAGTTAACTCCAGGGGATCATGGGGTCCCAATGCCAGATGAGGTGGAGGTGCAGATGGGGCCTGAGGCCAGACAGCAGATGTTTGCCTCTCCAGGGCCCGCTGGCTTGCTGCCTCTTGCACCTGGCTGTGGGATGACTTACAAGTTCTCAGACGCAGCCTTACACCTTCAGGTGGCATAGCCTCAGCTAATGGGCAGCCCCCACACTGTCCCTTATCATCCTGTCATGGGGTTTAGATTTTCTTCTTGAATTTTCCCATGCCACCATAAGGGGGCGCATGCCAACAGCAGTGCACGGTATTCGCCACAGTGGTACTGGACCAGCCGCCCACAGACAGGCAGAGACCCCCTGAGAACTGGAAAGAATAAAAGAGGAGCTGTTCCTGGCTTTGCTCTCTCTCTCCCTGGTGATGCTCACTGCCTGCATCGACTTGGGAAACCCCTATGCGGGTTCAGCAGTCCCGCATTGACTTACCGCTGTGGCTCCTGCCGTGACTTGCTGCCCAAAGTTGCTGGTCTGATTCACCTCCCATGCGCGAGTCCGGAATCACCCAGCTACCACCCGGCTGCAGCCCTCCTGTCTGCCAATGCCGCAACCACTGGAGCCCTGGTGTCCCCACATCCCGCAACAGTTGCCGGCTGGGAAGTTCCCTTTGTGTGGGATGAGCACAGCCACACCTGCTGCATCGCGTGGAGCCTGCTCTGCACCCTCTGCTGCAGACCGCCAGAAACAAGGTACTGTGCGCCTGATGCCAGCACCACATACCAGAGTTCTTCCTGCCGCTGCTGCTGCCTCCTGGTTTGCCGCAACTGCTCATGGCTCTGACCTGCCACTTTCCCACCACCTACAGCCATCGTTGCTGCTTCCACATGGCAACCACCTTGCCACCAGGGCTATGTGACCGCACCAGAACTGCGTTGTTTCCCCGGCAATGCAAAAGTGAAGAGAGTGATTTCTGGGTGACATTTTTTTCTCTGTTATTGTGTGGGTGTTGTTTTTGTTCTGTTTTTTTCCCTGGTTTTCAGTAAACTGTTTATTTCATTTCTACTCCTTGCTCATAAGTCTCATAATTTTTTTTCAAATTTACAATAAGTCCAGCAGGGAGGGGTTTCTGTTTCATCTGAGGTCCCACCTCCCTGGCAACATTGTCTTTAACCCAAGACACACCCTGATCCAAGACAGGTTAATGATAGGAACAAGAGAGAAGCTGCAGATCAGTTCTGTTCAAGACCACAGGCTGCTACTTCCCCATGCATCTGGTCTCACCTACATTCTGAGGATCCTCCAACCCTGCTCAACACACAGGAGCCAAAACACAAAGTAGCACTGTGATAGCATCCGTGCCTTTGAACCCAAGCCAGTGATCACAGCTACAGATAACAGTTCACCTGAAGGACATTTATAGCCAAATGAGATCCTTCTTCAACACTGGAGGCATATTTCAGCATCTCACTAACCATTCCAGGTATGCTAATTAGTAAGCCCTCATAATTTGAAGAAGTTTTGTCAAGAACACAACAAAAAACAGCAACATAGCATTTGGAGCTGCTGAATACCCAAGCGACTACTTATGTTGCTGGAACAGTTTGCCATAAAAAGGAAACTGCCTTGTTAGGATTCCAACAGGCTTGTACAATCTTGTTGTCGTGGTTTTGCCCAGCCGGCCAGCCCCTGGGGCTGAGAATAGTTTTGTCTAGGTGAATTTCCGAACAAGAAACCAATTAAAACTCTCAGTAACGCTTTTGCTAATTACATATTTAAGAAAAACAGAAGAGAAGGCTTGTGTCGCAGTTGAAATTAAGCAGTCATGTAGGAGGGGTAGCAGCGGGCCCCGAGTGGGCCAAGGCCCCCTCCTTCCCTGGCCCTGGGCCGGGGGCAGGTGTAGCACTGAAAGTCCTCCTTTTCTTCTGTACGAGAGTGAAGAAAAAAACTTTAAAAAACAAACTGCTTAGACAGAAACTGTGGCAGAAGAATTTCAGCAGATAACGAAATGTTCAAGACCAAAGCTACAGCAGGAAAGAGAGAGAAGAGAAATTAGAAAGGGGGGGCTACTTCTTCCCCCTTTCGCTCTCTCCCTTCAGCAGGGAAAAGACTGAAAAAATAAATCCCTACTACCTGTAGAAGATTATTGGAGTGAGGAGACCCCCATGCGGCTCACAGAGGAACTTGTGGATGTACCAGAGAATTGAGACTTTATGAGAAGGACTGAGGTGAGGCAGAGTCCTGTTGGAGATTTGTGACCCTGAGAGAACTTCATGCTGGAGTAAGAACGGCTCAGGTGAGATGTTGGGATCTCAGTGAAAGATCCATGCTACTAGTGCTGAAGATTTGTGACTTTGAGAGAACCTCACGCTGGAGCGAGACGGCCCAGGTGGGATGTTGGGATCCGAGTGAAGGATCCATGCTAGACCCATGCTGGAAAAGTCTATCAAAGACTGTTCTCCCGTGGAGAGGGACCTCCATAGAGAACAGGAGTAGACTTATAAGCCATTATCCCCTGTAACTCTGTGAAAGAAGATCCATGGTAGGCAAGTGTCGTCCCCTTGTAAGTCCATGAAAGAAGATCCTTCAGAACCTGGGTAACCCCCCAGCCTCTGGCCTTAGCCCAGGAGGAGAGTAAGCCCAACTCTGGAGGCAAACACAGAGAAGGAAAGAGAATTCCAGCTGCGACGAAAGTGCTGCAGAGTTACTGGAGAGAGAAAGCTGGAACTCTCAAAATGGAGAAAAGGACTGCTTCTCCTCCTTAAACTGATATAAAGGGGGGAGAAGTATTTCTGTAAATACATAGTACTTAAGTAGAATTATTGTAGATATAGTTCTTTAGTAGTTTTTATTTTGCTAATAATAAATATTCATATTATTTTCCCCAAAATTCAGTCTCTTTTGTCTACATAAACCTTCTCTCAACTGATAGTAATTGAGGAGTGTAAGCAAATTGACCCAGAGCAAAACCACAACACTTGTATAACCTAATATATTTTTAATGTGAAGTTAACCTTACTAATGTTAGATTATGTTTCACAGCCTATTCTGGTTTTATTCATAATTTCCATGATTTTACCCAGTTTCTCCTTTAACCATCTTCTGGGAGATGGCAGCCAGGAGAGGCCATCATTGCACTCAGGGGAATTTGCTCATATGATCAGGTCAACAGCATGTGGACAAGCAGATATTCAGCCATACAAAGATAAAGAGGGAAGCAAGAATGTGAGAAGTTTCCCTCTTGCAACAATCAATGTTACATGATTGGAAATTCAAGCAGGGCAGCACTGCATAAGAGTCTGGATGGGTAAAGGTGTCATGGGGCTTGATGAGATCAGCACAAGGTTTTTTAGGGATCACTGTAGTCAAGGGGCGAGCCTTTCCCCGTGTACATTCCTGGTTTGAAGCGGACACAAAAGAAAGCCTGCAGAACCTCTCATAGGAAGACCTGTGATAAGGTGACAGAGCTGCACCAAATGGAACATTTTGAAAGGTCTTTAGCTCCTCAAACTATTCAAGCAGTAGTCCTAGCAGGCTCACACTAGGCTAGGATATCCAAAAGTTCAGCAGGGATTTGACTGGCCTCCACTAAAAGATTGAGTTTTGAGCCAAAGCAGGCCTTCAATTTTCAAATACAGCCATGAAATTTTGTAATTTTGAACTAATTGTATGAAATGAAATATGAAATGAAATGCTGCTTTTTACAGTCTTTGCAGCAGCACTATTAAACTGTCTCAAGCTGCTGCTCACGAGTTTTAACATAACAACTCAACTCAACTATGTGCCAGCATAAACCTTAAAGGTCACTTGACAGATGAAAGTCCAGCAAGAAACACAACATTCACACCAGATGCAGGGTAATGTATCCTATGCCCCAGCAGCAGCAGAGGTTAGCCTGATCACTGCCATATTAACACAGTTGGGCCACTATCAGCCCCTGAGCTACTCAATCAGCAGAACACCACGCCATGCTGAGATGCACCAGATATATCCTCATGGTAACATTTCCCTTAGTGCTTTCCCTTAGTGCTTTCGTCCATGACAACTTCACTTAAATCTCTCTAAGCAGCCCATGCTCAGCATCATGACGAAAATGCTTTCAAGCTAGGGAGTGCTGCTTTCTAAGAAACATTTATATAAAATCATTCTTCTTCTGAACCTGCTATGTAGTTGTACCATGATCCAGTCATGGACTTGATAGTCCAGTGTTACACCGTGAGCATCACTCACACACGCACTGAACTAAGGGCCACTTCAAATTGACTAGTAGACATTACATTCAAAGGTTCACTCTGGTCCCAGGGTGACCAGGCTGTGCATGACTCCTCCTGAAGCTGGACTCCAACTCTGGTTCTTCCTGCAGTTGGAGCACCCCAAGTCCAAACCCCTTCATCATAGGCTGACTGCTGCAGGAGATTGTTTCCCAACATTTCTTGTCTCATCACACAATTTTGTAGGATATGCTCAAATTAAAAATGTACTTGAAAGTCATAAAAACAGCAACTAGTTGTCTAAGTATCACAGTAGAGCAAGACCCATACACCAGCTTAGGGGATCCAAGAATCCCCTAAAACTGCCAACACTCACGACATAATGCTTCAGCTGGAGCTGCTTGCTGCACTTGCAGGTGTGAGAAAGGTTCCATCCCTGTCTACAGAAACAGCATTTCTTACAACATTTAGATTTAACTCTGCAACCATGAAGCTGACATTTAAACACAAACAGCTAACCGCTTTAGCTAAGGCTAGAGATGTTTAGTACCTTCAATACTTCCAGAAGTTTAAGGACATAGGAAACTTTCTCACATACCTGAGAAAAAAATTAATTAGCTTAAAAAACACTTTACCTCATAAATGTTGGGGTGCCACATTTTGGTCAGGAATCTGAAGGTAGGTGGTGAATATGGATAGTCAATAGGAAATTTAATGTGAGCCTGGAAAATAAAGCAAAATATTTTAATTATGAAACAGAACAAAGAGATCAACAAGCAACCATTGCAGTGAAAACACTGAAAAAAAAATTTCCATTAAGTCCATTAAATATTTTTTTATATATATCAGTGCCCATGTGGACCCACAGTATAACTCTACACAATTTCTTATGAGCAAAACACTAACTGAACAAGAAAACTAAACACCAGGCCTTATCTGGGCCGGTAACACTCAGAAAACAAGCCACAAGACATTTACCAAGTCCTAATTCAAGCAGTACTATCCAAGAACTGTTGTTCAACAGATTTGAAAAGTTAGAACTCAAGATATAATTGCTGTCTTGCTAGGTTCAGATGCAGTCTAAAAACAATTACTAAGGTGAAAGGACCTTTTCTACATTTGCCAGTGCAAAGGTTTTCAATTACTCTTTCTCTATGGGAAAAAAAATAAAAATTAAATACATGCCCAATTGAGATCGTAGAATCATAGAATTAACTGGGTTGGAAGAGACCTCTGAGATCATCAAGTCCAACTCTTGATCCAACCCCACTGTGATTACTAGATCATGGCACTCAGTGCCACATCCAGCCTCATCTTAAAAACCTCCAGGGACAGTGAATCCACTGCCTCTCTGGGCAGGCCATTCCAATGCCTGATCACTCTCTCTGTAAAGAACTTCTTTCTAATATCCAACCTAAACCTCCCCTGGCAGACCTTAAGCCCATGCCCTCTTGTCCTACTGCTGATTGCCTGGGAGAAGAGACTGACTCCCACCTGGCTACAACCTCCTGTCAGGTAGCTGTAGAGAGTGATGGAGTCACCCCTGAGCCTCCTCTTGTCCAGGTTAAACAACCCCAGCTCCCTCAGCTTCTCCTCATAGGACTTGTGTTCAAGTCCCTTCACCAGCCTCGTTGCTCTTCTCTGGACCTGCTCCAGCACCTCAATGTCTTTCCTGAACTGAGGGGCCCAGAACTGAACACAGTACTCAAGGTGTGGCCTCACAGGTGCTGAGTACAGGGGAAGGATCACTTCTCTGGTCCTGCTGGCCACACTGTTCTTGATGCAGGCCAGGATGCCATTGGTCTTCTTGGCCATCTGGACACACTGCTGGCTCATGTTCAGCCTCCTGTCAATCAGCACCCCCAGATCCCTTTCCGCCTGGTTGCTCTCCAGCCACTCTGTGCCCAGCCCGTGGGGCTGCAGGGGGTTGTTGTGGCCAAAGTGCAGGACCCGGCACTTGGCCTTGTTGAACTTCATTCCATTGGAATCAACCCAACTCTCCAGCCTATCCAGGTCCCTCTGCCTTCCAGCAGGTCGACACTCCCTCCCAACTTGGTGTCGTCTGCAAATTTGCTAATGATGGATTCAATCCCCTCACCTAAATCATCAATAAAGATGTTAAACAGGACTGGGCCCAGCACTGATCCCTGGGGGACACCACTGGTGACCAGACGCCAGCTGGATGCAGCCCCGTTCACCAGCACTCTCTGGGCCTGGCCATCCAGCCAGCTCTTAACCCAGCAGAGAGTGCACCTGTCTAAGCCCTGGGCTGCCACCTTTTCCAGGAGTATATTATGGGAGAGTGTCAAAGGTTTTGCTGAAGTCCAAATAGACTACATCCACAGCCTTCCCCTCATCCACCATGTGGGTCACCTGATCATCAAAGGAGATCAGGTTGGTCAGACAGGACCTGCCCCTCCTAAACTCGTGCTGGTTGGTTCTGATCCCTTGTCCATCCTGTAGGTGCTGTGTGATTGCACCTAGGATGATCTGCTCTGTAACCTTGCCAGGCACTGAGGTCAGGCTGACAGGCCTGTAGTTTCCCGGGTCCTCCTTGCAGCCCTCTTTGTAGATCAGCGTGACATTTGCCAACTTCCAATCCTCTGGGACCTCCCCAGTGATCCAGGACTGTTGGTAAATGATGGAGAGCGGCTTGACAAGCTCTACTGCCAGCTCCCTCATCACCCTAGGATGGATCCCATCGGGTCCCATGGACTTGTGTGGATCCAGGTAGCTCAGTAAGTCACTGACTGTTTCCTCCTGGAACACAGAGGGGCTATTCGGCTTCCTGTCCCTGTCTACCAGCTCCAGAGATCAGTTGTCCTGAGGGCCACCTGTCCTACTGGTGAATACTGAGGCAAAGCAGGTAAGTACCTCAGCCTTCTCCTCATGCCTGTTAACTATGTTCCCCCCCAAGTCCAACAATGAATAGAGGTTTTCCTTGCCCCTCCTTTTGTTATTAATGTATTTATAGAAATGCTTTTTGTTATCCCTAACAGAAGTAACCAAATTGACTTCAAATTGGGCTTTTGTCTCTCCAATTTTCTTTCTGCATGACCTAGTTATATTCCTAAACTCATCCTGAGTAACCAGTCCTATTTTCCATAGTCTGTAAGCTCTCTTTTTATCTCTGATTTTCTTCACAATCTCCCCATTCAACCAAGTTGGTTGTCTACCCCTCTGGCTTGCCTTTTGGCACACTGGTACAGCCTGTTCCTGTGCACTCAAGACTTCCTTCTTGAAGCACATCCATCCTCTCCCACTTCCACTTGTTTTCAAGGGTTTTTTCCCAGGGTATGCTCTGGACCAGTCTTCTGAACAGGCCAAAATCTGCCCTCTGGATGTCCAGTGTAGAGGTTTTATTGGTGGCCTTCCTTGTATCCCTGAGTATTGCAAACTCTATTATTTCATGGTCACTGTGCCCCAGACGGCCTCCAACCACTACATCTCCCACCAGCCCCTCTCTGTTTGTAAACAACAGGTCTAGTGGGGCCCCACCCTTGGTAGGTTCATTTACCAGGTGGAGCAGGAAATTATCCTCTATACACTCCAGGAATCTTTTAGACTGCCTCTTCTATGCTGTGTTGAGTTCCCAGCAGATATCCGGCAGGTTGAAGTCGCCCACAAGAACAAGGGTTGGCGATTTTGAGACATCTGCCAGCTGCTTGGCTCCAGAACCTCAATGTCTTTCCTGAACTGAGGGGCCCAGAACTGAACACAATACTCAAGGTGTGGCCTCACCGGCACTGAGTACAGGGGAAGGATCACTTCCCTGCTCCTGCTGGCCACACTGTTCCTGATCCAGGCCAGGATGCCATTGGCCTTCTTGACCACCTGGGCACACTGCTGGCTCATGTTCAGTCTCCTGTCGATCAGCACCCCCGGATCCCTTTCCACCTGGCTGCTCTCCAGCCACTCTGTCCCCAGCCTGTAGCGCTGCAGGGGTTGTTGTGGCCAAAGTGCAGGACCCGGCACTTGGCCTCATTGAACTTCATCCCGTTGGAATCGGCCCAACTCTTCAGCCTATCCAGGTCCCTCTGCAGAGCCCTTCTGCCTTCCAGCAGGTCGACTCTCCCTCCCAGCTTGGTGTCGTCTGCAAATTTGCTAATGATGGACTCAATCCCCTCATCCAAATCATCTATAAAGATATTAAACAGGACTGGGCCCAGCACTGATCCCTGGGGGACACCACTGGTGACCGGCCGCCAGCTGGAGGCAGCCCCGTTCACCAGCACTCTCTGGGCCCGGCCCTCCAGCCAGTTCTTAACCCAGCACAGAGTGTCCCTGTCCAAGCCTGGGCTGCCAGCTTTTTCAGGAGTATATTATGGGAGACAGTGTCAAAGGCTTTGCTGAAGTCCAGATAGACACATCCACAGCCTTCCCCTCATCCACCAGGCGGGTCACCTGATCATAAAAGGAGATCAGGTTGGTCAGACCGGACCTGCTCCTCCTAACCCCACCCTGGCTGGCTCTGATCCCTTGTCCATCCTGTAGGTGCTGTGTGATTGCACACAGGATGATCTGCTCCATAACCTTGCCAGGCACTGAGGTCCGGCTGACAGGCCTGTAGTTTCCTGGGTCCTCCTTGCAGCCCTTTTTGTAGATCATCGTGACATTCGCCAACTTCCAATCGTCTGGGACCTCTCCATAGAGCCAGGACTGTTGGTAGAAAATGGAGAGCTCTTCTCCCAGCTCCCTCATGACCCTAGGATGGATCCCATCTGGTCCCATGGACTTGTGTGGATCCAGGTGGCTCAGTAAGTCACTGACTATTTCCTCCTGGAATACAGGGGGGCTGTTTGGCTTCCTGTCCCTGTCTACCAGCTCCAGAGGCCAGTTCTCCTGAGGGCCCCCTGTCCTACTGGTGAATACTGAGGTAAAGTAGGTGTTAAGTACCTCAGCCTTCTCCTCATGCCTGTTAACTATGTTCCCCTCCAAGTCCAACAAGGAATGGAGGTTTTCCTTGCCCCTCCTTTTGTTATTAATGTATTTATAGAAGCGCTTTTTGTTATCCTTAACAGAAGTAGCCAAATTGACTTCAAACTGCACTTTTGTCTCTCTAATTTTCTTTCTACATGACCTAGTTATACTCCTAAACTCATCCTGAGTAGCCAGCCCTATTTTCCATAGTCTGTAAGCTCTCTTTTTATCCCTGATTCCCTTCAGAATCTACCTGTTCAACCAAGCTGGTCGTCTACCTCGCCGGCTTCCTTTTGGCACACCAGTACAGCCTGTTCCTGTGCACTCAAGACTTCCTTCTTGAAGCACTGTACCCCCTTGTTTTCAAGGGTTTTTTCCCAGGGTATGCTCTGGACCAGTCTTCTGAACAGGCTAAAATCTGCCCTCCGGAAGTCCAGTGTGGAGGTTTTATTGGTGGCCTTCCTTGTATCCCTGAGTATTGCAAACTCTATTATTTCATGGTCACTGTGGCCCAGATGACCTCCGACCACTACATCTCCCACCAGCCCCTCTCTGTAAACAGCAGGTCTAGTGGGGCCCCACCCCTGGTAGGTTCATTTACCAGCTGGAGCAGGAAATTAACCTCTATCTGCTCCAGGAATCTCTTAGACTGCCTCTTCTCTGCCATGTTGAGCTCCCAGCAGATATCTGGCAGGTTGAAGTCGCCCACAAGAACAAGGGCTGGTGATTTTGAGACATCTGCCAGCTGCTTGTAGAATAATTCATCCCCTTCATCATCCTGGTTGGGTGGTCTATAACAGACTCCCACCAGGATGTCAACCTTGTTGGCCTTCCCCCTGATTCTGATCCACAGGCACTCAACCTTATCATTGGTGACCTCAAGTTGTACAGAGTCAAGGGACTCTCTAACATATAGAGCCACCCCTCCGCCTCTCCTACCCTGCCTGTTCTTTCTGAAGAGCTTGTAACCATCCATGGCAGCACTCCAGTCATGCGAGTCATCCCACTATGTTTCTGTGATGGCAACTACGTCATAGCTTTCCTGCTGCACGATGGCTTCCGGCTCCTCCATGCTGCGTGCATTAGAGTACATGCACTTCAACTGGACTGCTGATTTTACTCTTAACTCAGGCTTTTCATCCCTGGGCTTCTCTTTGGAAAGCCTGGATTCAACCCCTTCCCCCTTCAAACCTAGTTTAAAGCCCTCCTGATGAGCCCCGCCAACTTATGGGCTACAGTCCTTTTGCCCCTCCTAGATACATAAAGCCCATCTGATTTAAGAAGACTGGGTACTGTGGAGTTTGCCCCATGGTCAAAAAACCCAAAACTTTGACGGTGGCACCAATCCTTTAGCCACCTATTGATAAGGTAGGCTTTCCTACTCTTCTCCTCATTCATCTCCTCATTCATTCCAGCAAGTACAGGAACTGAGGCAAATACTACCTGTGCACCTGTCCCATGAACTGATCTACCCAGTGCCTTGAAGTCCTTTTTGATTACCATGGCACTTCTTCTATTAATATCATCGCTACCAGCCTGGATTACCAACAGTGGATAGTAATTTGAGGTTTGAATTAGCTCAGGAAGTCTCTTACCAATGTCCCTCACCCTGGCTCTGGGAAGGAAGCAAACCTCCCTGTGGGATGGGTCTGGTCGACATATAGGGCCCTCAGTTCCTCTCAAAAGGGAGTCACCTACTACAGTTACCCTTTTTTTCCTCATAGCTGTAGTTGTAACTCATCTGGTAGACAGTGTGCAACCTGTAGACAGATCTTCCTCTTGCCTGATCTCTACTTCACTTTCCAAGTCTAGGTCTTCATATCTGTTGTTCAAGGGCACCTGGGGAGGTGATGGGGGTTGAGACGGTGTTCTTTTACCTCTCCAAACAGGGACATGTTTCCATTCCCTCCTGTCCACTCGGTTTGCCTCTTGACTGCAAGAGGGGCAGGGCATCACTGTCTCCTGCTGGACTTCCTTAGGGGTCGAAAGGATGTGACTCCACCAGTCTATTTCCCTTTCACTTTCCCTAATACTTCTCAGCCTCTCTACCTCTTCCTTGAGCTTTGCTACCATGCAGAGCAAATCATTGACCTGCTTGCATTGCACACAGTTGCCTCTCCCAATGTCCTCTGGCACTGCTGCTGGGGTCAAACGCTCTGCATAGCCAGAGACCTGAATGGCTGCATCCTTCTTGGAGGGTTCTGTCTGTGTCGACACACTCCTAGTGGTAACAGTAGCAACAGCTTTCATTTTTTTAGAAACCATTACTGGCTTGAGTTGAAATATGGGAAAAAAAACCCCCCAAAAAACTACCAAAAAACCCCAACCTAGGAGATGGCTGTGCCCTGCCTGTTTGAACTAACATGCCACACCCCTGTTTGCCCGCTCCTGTTCACCTTGCTCCAGGTTTCTGGCACTCCCTGGAGATGTTTATGTAGCCCTCTGGAACACCAGCTAAAGAGCCTGTCCCACCCCTCTCTCGGTTCCCAAGGAGCACTGTTTTTTTAGGCTAATAAATGACAAAGTAATTCTTATTCTATCAGACTCTAATATCAGCTATGAATTTAATTTTACATGCCTTTATTAAGGTTGTAGTTGAGAATCTTTGTAAGATCCCTTTTGTTTGTTTTTAAGCTTTGTCTAGCTCTTCGTTATTTGCATAAAGAGAAGAGGATTGTTCATCGAGATCTCTGAACACTGTCATGCTGGGGGATAAAGACAAAGTTACAGTTAGTAAGTACAACTGCTTTTCTTTAAGACAATTTCTCATGATGTACTGAAACTCTCAGAAGGTTTCAGATTCCTGGGCTATTGATCATCGTACTTGGAAGCTAGTAAATTATTGGATTGTGATCCTATGATATAGAATGGTATGGGTGGAAAGGGATCTTAAAGATCCTCTATTTTCAATCCCCCTTGCTGTAGGCAGGGACATCTTGACTAGACTGGGTTGCTCAGAGCTCCATCCAACCTGACCTTAAAACTTCCAGGGATGGGGCATCCATAACTTCTCTGCACAACCTGTTCCAGTGCCTCACTACCTTCACAGTAAAAAAGTTTTTCTAATATGTAATTTAACCTACTCTCTTTCAGTTTGAAACTATTTCCCCTTGTCATCTCACTACATCCTCTTGTAAAAAATCCCACTCCAACCCCGATTGTCTGTATAGGCTGGGAATGAGAAGCTGGAGAGCAGTGCTGCAGAAAGGGGGTCCTGGTCGATGACAAGCTGAATCTGAGTCAGCAGTGCCCTGGCAGCCAGCAGGGCCATCTGGGTCCTGGGGGTCATCAGACAAAGCATGACCAGCCGGTCAAGGGAGGGGATTGTCCCACTCTGCTCTGCACTGGGGTGGCCTCACCTTGAATATTGTGTGCAGTTTTGGGCACTGCAGTATAAGAAAGATATTAAGCTAATAGAGAGTGTCCAAAGGAGGGCAGTGAAGATGGCAAAGGGTCTGGAGGAGAAGCCATATGAGGAGCAGCTGAGTTCTGTTCAGCCTGGAGGAGAGGAGGCTGAGTGGAGACCTCATTGCAGTCTAAAACTTCCTTGTGAAGGGAATTGGAGGGGCAGGTGCTGGTCTCTTCTCTCTCATGACCAGTGACACGACCCGAGGGAATGGCATGAAGGTGAGGTCGTGTAGGTTTAGGTTGAATATCGGAAAAGATTTTCCACCCAAAGGGTGTAACAGGCTGCCCAGGGAAATAGTCACAGCACCAAGCCTGTCTGAGTTCCGCAAGTGTTTGGACAACACTCTTGGGCACATGGTGTGATTTTTGGGGTGTCCTGTGCAGAGCCGCAAGTTGGGCTCTATGATCCTGATGAGTCCCTTCCAACCTAGCATATTCTTTGATTCTATGATTCTTGAAGGCTTCCTTCAGGTACTGGAGGGCCACAATTACGTCCCCCTGAAACCTCTTTTCCAGGATGAATAAATTCAATTCTCTCAGCCTTTCCTTGTAGGAGAGGTGCTTCATCCCTCTAATCATCTTGGTGGCCTCCTCTGGACTCACTCAAACAGGTCAATGTCCTTCCTGTTCTGGGGACCCCATAGATGTTTGCAGTACTCCAGGTAGTGTCTCACCAGAGCAGAGTAGAGGGGCAGAATCACTTGTCTCAACCTGCTGGGTGCAGCCCGGGGTAGGGTTGGCTTTCACATTGCCAGCTCATGTCCAGCCTTTCATCCACCAGCACCCCCAAGTCCTTCTCAGCAGGGCTGCTCCCCATCTGTTCATCCCACAGCCTGTATTGATACTGAGGGCTGCCCCAACCCAGGTGCAGCACCTTGCATTTGGTCTTGTTAAACTGCATGAGATTCCCATGGACTCACTTCTCGAGCTTGTCCAGGTCCCTCTGGATGGCATCCCATTGTTCAGGTGTGTCAGCTACAACACTCAGCTTGGTGTTATCTGCAAATTTGGTGAGGGTGCACTCGGTTCCTTCATCTTTGTCATTAATGAAGGTGTTACCTAAGACTGGCACCTGAGGGACACCACTTTCACTGATGTTGACTGGGACTTTGAGCCATTGACCACTACCATCTGGATGCAGTCATCCAATTACTTTTTTATCCATCTAACAGTCCACTCATCAAATTTATCTCGCTTCAATTTAGAGAGAAGGATGTTGTGGGGGATTGTGTCAAAGGCTTTACAGAAGTCCAGATAAATGACATTTATTGTTGCGCTTTCCTTGTCCACTGATGTAGTCGCTCCATCATAGAAAGCCACTAGGTTGGTTCGGCAGGACTTGCCCTTGGTGAAGCCTGAATCACTTCTTTGTATTCCATGTGCCTTAGCGTAGCTTCTAGGAGGATCTGTTCCGTGATCTTTCCAGGCGCAGAAGTAAAATAATTGCTAATACAAATTGTGTATTCATTGCCACCAGGTGTATGACAGCCACGGCTATGTTTTTTTGCAGCTATATATGTCAAATATGATGGAGGAGTTGATTTAGCCCTAAAAAAATTAAACTGTAGCTATGCTTCAGTGCCTATTTTTGTTACATCAGCAAGAAAATTGAAATAACCAGATTACATAGCGAGTACTAGTGAACATACAAAGTAAAACAGCTGTCAATTTTGTTCTATTCCAATTCTGCCACAAAGTTGCTTAGTATCCTTCAGTTGTTCCCAGTGATCAGCTGCAGTGAGGTGCTATTTGTCTAAGCCTGACTAGTGAATATTCTTGATGTATGCTTCTGTAATCACCAGTGTGGAGGAAGGACCCTAGACAGGTTCCAGGATAGGCTTTCAAAGCACTATGCGTGTGAACAGTACAAAGCATGGCATAGCTTTGGTCTTTGAGTGAATCAGTACAACCTGGTACACACAGCAAGTCTTACAGGCAGTTCAGATCCTGTAGTTTTTGAAGTTCTCAGGGAACTACTGCATGCTTTCTTGCTGCTCGTGACACAGGAGAAAATAAGTGATTTGAGTGCTGCAGAATTGTTGTCAGAAGTCTTTAGGCAAAATTCAGTCTCTCTTCTTTAAATATAATAGGAAGGTGTAAGCATATGCACACACCCATCCACAAAACACTCAGCTATAAATATTTAGCAACCGTTGTTTCATAGTAAATATTTTTACCTGATGATGTACATACTTAAATTCATTCATTATTAAATTGTATGTACCCAAAGCCCTCTGATTCTTAGTAATGATATAGTTTTGAAAGAAGGTGATTTAATGGAGCATTTGTCCTTGAGTGATGAAAATAAATATTCAGAATATTATTTTAATCATATAATTGTATTTTATATCATCATACTGCCACTGAGGGGCACTCTTGTCTTGATTTAACAGCTTTTGCTTATCTCTGGTCCAATCTAAGTATAAAGAAGTATAAGCATACTTTCACATGCAAGCTCAAAATTGCTGTTGAAAAGCATTTATATTTCTGTCGAAGATTTACAGGAGTTGAGGAAATGGGAAGAACTGAAATTTATTTAGACCATTTCTACGGTGATTGGTTCAAAACTATTGCAATATTTAAACAAACACTTTGTTTAGTGCTACAACTAGTACCAGTGTAGTAACCACTGAATTTTTGGAGGGAGCTGAAGACCTTTTATCTATTGCTTCTGAATTTTAGTGAGCCTTGTTTTATGACTGTAATGAAATTAAGAATAATTTACTTTCTTTCTGACAACAGTAAATCTGTACTCTGTGAGTGCATGCTGTGCTATTGGGCCTTAACTCATACAGTTTATGTATGCCAAAGACTGGAGCATTTGTCATCTTGATAATTATATCTTGCAGTGTTTGAGGGTAAGTGTACTATCCATTTGAGAATTTCAAGTGGTTCTTGATGAAAGTTTGTCCTGGCTTCAGATGTGATAGAGTTAATTTTCCTTCTAGTAGCTGGTGCCGTGCTGTGTTTTGAACTTAGTATGACAGTAATGTTATAACACGCTGATGTTTTAGTTGTTGCTAGGTAGTGTTTACTCTAAATCGAGGACTTTTCAGTTTTCCATCCTCTGCCAGTGAGGAGGTGCACAGCAAGCTGGGGCAGGGGGAGCACGGCTGGAACAACTGACCTGAACTAGCCAAAGGGATATTCCATACCATAGAACGCCACGGCCCGTATATAAACTGGGGGGAGTTGGCTGGGAGCTGCTTTGGGACTGGCTGGGCATCAGTCAGCAGGTGGTGAACAACTGTAGTGTGCATCACTTGTTTTTCCTGAGTTTTATTGCACGCTCTCTCTCTCTCTTATTGTTGTCATCATTATTATTATATTTTATTTTGTTTCTATAATTCAACTGTTCTTATATAAACCAACCAGTTTTACCTTTTTTTTTTCCCCTAGTTCTCCTCTCCAGTGGGAGAGGTGGGGAATTGAGTGTGTGGGGATTGCTGGCTGGGGTTAAACCATGACAAAGTTAATACAAAATGTCAGATGACTATGAACCATATGCTAAAATATTAAGAAATCTCTGCATTGAATTTATCCTGTCAGCTTTTATAAAAAGAGAATGTCTGCTCCTAGATCTACTGAAAACTGTAGTTCTGTGTTTACAAGCTGCACAGTCATCCTAAATAGAGTTAGTTCCATTTTCTGGAGTCTTTCAAATCTGAAAACTGACCCAAAAGTTGCCTTGATCTAACTAGAATAATGTTCCTGTGGACTACCTGTGAAGTGGTGTTGTGTGACTATGTAATCAAGTTATGGCCCAAATTATTTTGTTCCATAAAAGAAGTTTGTGTATCCTGTAATACTGCTGTTTTTTCTTTTCCTCAATCAGTTCTTCTGGAAATAGTTAATCTCTTGCTATGAGAGTTGGCAGGCTGACAATATAACAAAGGCAGGTCATTCCTCTGTAACTAATGTTCTTAAAAAATGTTGTTATTAGAGAGGTACCTTAGTTTCAGACTCTCATGGTATATTTTTTATTAAAAAAAAATGAAGTGAGCAATACACTGGAGCAAAGTGCTTTTTATAGATTAAGACTTTCATTTTACAGCAGTCCCAGCAATGAATTGCTTTAAGAAAGTTCTTGAACCCACAAACAGGCATTTGATACCGTGTATGTGACAACAGGACAACTCACATTCCAAACCCCTTGAAGACCTCTTACGCTGTTTCTGCATTTACATTGGTTAAAAAGGAAAGGAGTGCATAGTGTGGGAGACACTCTCACTTTGCTGTCAGAGCAGAAAACAATAAACCTGCTAAAGAATTATGCTTGTTAGTCCTGAATTCATAAAGAAAAGTTCTACAGGTTGTCCTTGTAG